ATGGATCGCTGTGTGAATTGTAGGATAGCGACTAGTCGATGTAATACACTAGGCTCACGATCCTTCCAAAATAGCAAAGGCACTTCAAAAATCAGCTGTTTAGTATAGGTTTTTGCGAACTTGTTGCATAACCTCACTTTTACTAAATCTCTTATAATTCTGCTCTCAGATTGCCAAAGTCTGCAGAATTATTAGTGATGTTTTGATAATATATAAGCTACTAATTGATACTACTTTCATCTTTTTACAATCTGGGCCCAAGAATGTATGAAGTCTCCTTTGCATTTCAGATATTCAGGGACAAACGGATCGTGTAAAACTGAAAATAACGTGCACAGTATTCTGAAATGTCTGCGATAGCGGAGAGGTAGCCATTTTAGCTGAGAAATATAAGAGGAAATGTGGTCGTATTTACGTAAATCGAAAATGAAGCGTATGCAATTATTGTGAAGTCGATCCAGTTTGTATAGAAGTTCTTGCGAGGCATCAGCATAGCAAACATCTGCATAATCTAGGCAACACTAAAGTTTGTATTAGCATTGCCTTAGTCCCTAACGGTAAAAAATTCTTGAGACGATACAGATAACGCAGTGTTAGTGACCTTTTTGCTCACTTCATATATATGAGGTTGCCAACTGAGGATGTTGTCTATAATTAAGCCAAGATTTTTAACTGTCTATCGCCTTCATATCAATTTTAGTCAGTCTACGTCTATGTCTACTAATTACCAACCACAATAGCCTGACATTTTGCTGGATTACCCCTAATGCCAAATCTGTTTGACCAATTAGAAATACAATTGAGATCACAGTTGAGCTTCTCAATCACATCATCGATACATGCCACCTCAGCTTGAGCATAAATTTGTAAGTCATCAGCATACAGATGGTACGAACAGCGAATGTGGGGTGTAATGAGATTTATAAAGACTGAGAACAAGAGAGGAGAGAGAATTCCGCCTTGAGGAACGCCAGCAGACAACGAGCACCAATCAGAGATAATCTGACCTACTCGAATTGCCTGCTGACGACCCCGAAGATACGAGGAGAACCAGTCCCGCGCTGACGAAGAGAAACCCAGGTGACAAAGTATAGCTAGAAGAATATCATGATCGACAGCATTTAGACAGCGTTAGAGAAATCTATTAGGACTAACACTGTCAAATTTGAGTTTTCCATTCCAGTACGCAAATCTTCCGTAACTTTCAAAAGAGCTGTGGTAGTACTGTGCCCCAGCCTAAAACCAGATTAATATGTGCTAAGAAAGTTATTTTTGAAAATGTAACTAGAAATTTGTTTGTGGACAATACCTTCAAGAACTTTAGATAAAAAAGGGAGAACCGATATTGGGCGAAAGTGAGAAAAAGTACTGGGGTTATTTATTTTGGGCAGCGGAATGACAAATGCTTTTCTCCAAAGTGAAGGAAAATCCCCAGTCAATAGTGAATGATTTGAGAAAATGATGTGAGTAATAATAGGAGTAACATAGTCTAGAATTAAGGTGATCATAAGTCTATTCACATCATCGAAGCCAACTGCCATATTCTTAATACAATAAATGGTCTTTTTTATATCCTCATTAGCAACGGGAGATAAGTTAAATGTGCAGTTATGAGATTGTGGCATGGAATGCAAATAAGAAATGGTTCTTGATTGAACAGAAGCCTGCATTTGGGTAGCTGAAGAAAAATGTAAATTGAGATCACTTATAAAAATGATTGCAGGGTCCACGTTATACGTAGCCTTACCGACCCCGATCGTCCGGAGAAATTCCATAGAAGAGTTTATGATATTATCGTGAATGTAGTAGCGTTTAGCGGCTCGTACCATCTGATTACATCGATTTCTCGCAACTTTGAATTTTTTCCAGTTAAGTTCACAACGGTTCTGCTTGAATTTTCTAAACATCTGATCGCGCTTAGACATAGCCTTACGGATATTTTCAGTAATCCATGGCGTAGGCGAATGTTTTAACCTAACGTCACGAACAGGTGCTGTGTTTGTCAAACAGCTTATGAATATGAGAATTAAATGTCGTAATCTTGTCATCAATACTCCTCTGCATTAAATGTATCGCTCCAGTCTAAAAGCGAAGCATCATGTTGGAGCCCTTCGACATTTATCCTAAAAAATCCAAAATTACGCAGACGCACTATAACTGGCTTTACTTTGGGAGGTTTATGCATCAATAGTTGTTCTTATGCACGTGAGTTATAAAACAAAAAAAAATATAAGACTTTGAAACATCACTAATAAAATATTCCATAATGTTAGTTCGTAACCCTAGATATACATAATAATATGGTTGACAATTACTTAAACTAAAAGTTGTTTATCAACTGAGCGGCTAGCGAATGAGAACAATGGGGATTGCATTCACTGTAGGTACAGTAAAAAGGGACCTGCGCTAACGCTATTAGGTTGAACAACCAGTAACCGCACGACCGTCTATGTATAATCATCACACAAATTATCGTAACAATTATGTAATATTAATGTTTTTTAACCGTACGCCTAGTTCGTGGTACTTCGCCACGCGTGTTTCCAGGCTCCCTCGAAGCCCTTGTTTCTTCCATCACCGGTTGAGATTCCTCGTCACATCCTGGCTTACTATGTTGACGTATCAGTCGGTTGAGGTCTTTATTGGATTGAATACTCTGGCGGGAAACATCGGGCAACCTAACGCTGATGAAGCCATTTGAAGACCAGACCATTTTCATCCCAAATTGTCTTCGAGCTTGCATGAACAAATTCTGCTTGTATTTTGTGAGAAACTCGGATAATGTAAACGGTGTTCCCTTCAACATAAGTATTTTTGTACCAGGCGGTAGAACGCATCGAGAAATCAGTAAAACGGAAAAGTATCGGTCGGTTGTGACCCGTCTTAGCCATACCGAGTCTATGAGCCATCCGGATAGAAGATGATGAGAGATTCGTCATACTCAAGTGATTCTGAAGGACGCTTACAACAATATTGGGCACATCCTCATCTGCTTTTTCAGGAACACCACTTAACAAAAGATATTTTCTGCGGTGTCTCGTCTCAATGGTTTCAACTGACCGGCTTAACTCTGGTATTTGTTGGCGAAGCGGGTTGAACATGTCTTGAACAAAGTCTCGAAACGAAGTAAAATCCTGACCAACCTTCTCAGCAGCAACAGTTTTGGTAGAACTGGAACCGAGTTGCTTCTCAAACTCTTCCATCCGAACAGTGATTAACGCTTCCAGGGACCTCTGAGATTCGGCAATGTCAGCAATTGTGGCCATAGTTTTGTTAAAAGTTCACAAAGTGATTGTAGAAAAATTGTGCTCCAGCAGTTTGGTGCAATGAAAAAAAACTATTGCATAACCAACTTGTACTTTTACTTTAAAATAATGTATGTGTTTTAATAAAAAGGTTCTCGAGTGGCAGCCTCGTACCGGCAGGCGAAGTGTAGGGCGTCCCCCCACTAGATGGAGTGACGACCTGGTAAGATATGCAGGAAGTCGATGGATGCAGGTGGCTCAGGACCGTGCTTTGTGGCATTCTTTGGGGGAGGCCTATGTTCAGCAGTGGACTTGTGAAGGGCTGTAATGATGATGTGTTTTAATAAGTGATAACGATCCTAAATTAGATGTAATTAACTAGTTTTTTTAATTATATAGCAATTAAAATGGGACGAACACGTATGCACTTATTTATCACCTACCCGCGAAAAAAATTATTCGTGAATCACCTGACGTAGAACCTCTCAATCTCACATAAAATCTTAGGTAACCCGGAAACTATGATACCACATTCGGCCTTAAGTTTAGACAGCTGGCTCTTTCCGGTACATAGATCTCTGGCAAAGACTTTGGACCCTTAGTTCCGCTCAATCTCTACTTCAATACGAGCTGTATTGAAGTTGAGTAAGTCTCACCGCTTGCATTTGGAAATCTGTCTGTTCAATTAGTTGTACGCTGTAATATCTGCTGAAGAGTGCAGCTTCATTTTCCGTCTAATAGTAATGATATTCAGAGTATGATCGAAGAGTTTTTGGGTTCTTCTGCGACAGATCTTGCAGAACTTATCTTTGGCCTCATGGACAGTTTAGACAAACTTGTCATTCATATCGTCTACTATATTGCAATCTACTAGGCACTGAAAACGATATTGTAATTCGCGATTAAAGTATTCGAGCTTTGTATTAGATTAGAGCAAGCACGAGGGGGACGGAGCGTTGACTTTACTAGACATGACCTCACGAAATTAACATTACGGTTCAGTGTGTCTCTTATCATTCGTTTATCGCCACCAATTTTTACCTTCGCGGTCACTGAGATATTACTGAACAATTGCCGTCTGGTCGTCAATATGCTGCTCTTAACATAAAGTGTATTTATTTCTAAATATTACATAATTAAGCATTTTGCTTTGGTTTTTTTTTCCCACTTTGATAATTTAACAACCTCACCGCGTCACACGTCACACTCGATAATTTAATGACAGACAATAGTTAAACAATCGAAATGTTCATTATCGTGGGACAGTGAAATGATTAAAATAGTCTAAATGACAATTTGTACATATTGTAGAGTAGCCTCAAAATCAAGACCAACTCTACTAATTCCTATAATCATGAGCCTTTAGGAAAATCACTGAAAGCCTTAAGATTTCTAAAGCTGCTATAAATACTGCTATATCATACATCCGTGAGATACTTAGTCAAATTTACAAGGCGCAAGAAACAAGGGCTGATGGAAACTTGACAGTTGTCACTACGTATTTCAATTTTATTTCTCCATTGATTTTCAAATTACCTACAACTTTAGTCTCGTTAACGTATACTTTATCTGCGAAAAAATGTTTAGTCATTATAATATAACAAATAAATTCTGGTTATAATTCTCAGTTTAATCAAAATCCACCTCGATTGTACATAACTTAATTACAATACATACAGAATAATAAGCAGTTATAAATATGCAAATTGAGTAACAACAATATCAATGACGAATAAAAAAATCACGTCCACTTACCACCATTATCATACAATTGAGCAAGATCGGAATGCAGAACACAACTGATATGAAGAGACCTTTGCTGTCGAAGTACTGCTGCCGCGAGAATAACGTCCAATTTCTGGCTGCCACTTCATTTATACTCTCCGAAAAATACACCAAAAGCACTGTAAAAAAAGAATAATAAAGTCATAAAAATCTAATTTAGATTTCGAAATAACACAATACTGTCATCTACTTAGCAGTAGTTATATAAAATACAACATAATATAAGTATCCTACAGTAGCCTTACATTTTGGTATAAGCCAAATTTAAAAAAAGCCAAGCCAATTGCGAATCGGACTCGCGCATTAAGTTTTTTTATAGGATAAGGGTGGCAAACGAGCACAGTCCACCTGATGGTAAGTAGTTGCTGGAGCCCATAGACATCCACATCTATCCTTGATTACGAATCAAAATGCAGATGCGTTGTCACCCGTGAGGACTAAAATGGAATGCCTCATTTCCAGTAAAAAGGGTATCCGGTTCTCTACACTCACCATACAAAACACAGCAGCATTAAGTCTGTTTTACGCTGGCATTCTGTGAGAGGGTGGTCCTTTCGCGGTAGAGCCGACCCATTCGTGCTACAACAATACAACTAATATAGCTATATAGTCGTTGAGAAAATGGAATTGACTCGAGAAAATTCAAGAGCGATGATTTATTATGACTTTCGAAGTGGTTTAACACAAAAACAGTGTGTTGACCGGATGATTTCTGCATTTGGTGATGAAGCCCCATCCAAAACCACAATTTATCGCTGGTTTGCTAAATTTCAACGTGGACGTGCCAAGCTCAGTGATGATCCCCGTCAAGGTCGTCCAAAAACTGCAGTCACCCAAGAAAACGTTGATGTTGTGCGTAAGCTGATTGAGGAAGATCGACATGTGACATACCGCGAAATTCAGGCAACTTTAGACATTAGCATGAGTCAAATACAAATAATCTTGCATGAACAATTGGGTGTAAAAAAGTTGTTTTCCCGATGGATACCGCATTCGCTCTGTGAAGAGCAAAAAGCGGCTTGCGTTACTTGGTGCGTCAGAACTCTCGAAAGATTCCACGCAGGATCCTCAAATGCTGTGTACAACATCATATCAGGTGACGAATCCTGGATATATGCGTACGAACCCGAAACAAAAAACCAGTCACGAGTTTGGGTGTTCGAAAATGAGTTAAAGCCAACAAAAATTGTTCGTTCACGGAGTGTTGCAAAAAAAATGGTGGCCACGTTTGTCTCCAAAACCGGCCATGTTACGACTATTCCTCTTGAGGAACAAAGAACGGTTAATGCAGAATGGTATGCTAGCATTTGTTTGCCACAGGTCGTTTCTGAACTCCGTAAAGAGAACTGCAACCGCCGCATCATCCTCCATCACGACAATTCGAGTTCTCACACCGCACACAGAACAAAAGAGTTTTAGAGCAAGAAAACATAGAATTAATAGACCATCCGCCGTACAGCCCCGACCTAAGCCCTAATGATTTCTATACTTTCCCTAAAATAAAGAATAAATTGTGTTGACAGAGATTTTCATCACCTGAAGAAGCTGTGGACGCCTACAAAACGGCCATTTTGGAGACCCCAACTTCCGAATGGAATGGTTGCTTCAATGATTGGTTCCATCGTATGGAAAAATGTGTCAAATTTCGCGGAGAATACTTCGAAAAGCAATAAATACATTTTTAAATAGTAATGTTGTATCACTTCCTTGATTCCCGAAATTTTCAGTGCCACCACGGAAAACGTAAAACTCGTTCCTAGTAGGGGAGTCCCCTTTAATTTTTAATTTATTTTTATTTTTATTAGCGGCAACAGAAATACAAATTTGTGAACATTCCAACTGTCTACCTATTACGGAGCATGAGATACAGCCTGCTGACAGACAGACGGACGGACAGCGGAGGCTTAGTAGTAGGTGCAGGTTCCAGGGAACAAGAGGAAACATGGATATATTGTTACATTCCAGAAAGAAAGCAACAGTGCTATGTATGGCTATAACAGTAAACCAACAAAATTGATGCAGCTAAAAAGTGGGCAAAAAAGTTCTTTCTGCACTATACCACTTGAGGTGTAAAATACAGTTAATGCTAAGTGGTACATCACCATTTGTTTGCCCAGTATTTATGAAAAAGTTAGGGAAAAACGACCAAGAAGTCGTATCCTATTGCATCACGAAAATGCTGCCGCGCACACTGCGGGCAACAAAGTTATTTATGGCTTATGAAAAGTTTAGCCTCGTAACCCATTAAGCACACTGTCAGCCTTTGCATTATGCGATTTCTTTATATTCCCAAAAATCAAAGATTTGATGAGAGGTTTGTCATTTACGAAGCCAAAAGAGACCGACCAATGGAACATATATGTTAAAACTGGTTTAAAAGAATGAAGAAGTGTTTAAAATGTAATGGATAATACTTTGCAATGCAGTAAATATGACAAAACTTACGGGGGTACACCCCCTACTATGCGAAACGTAGTGGCTGCCTTCACTCTGCCTCGGAGTAAGATAGACAATTACCATGTGTGTGACAAATACCAAACGAATCTATAGACAGATTAATTTTTGTAAAATTTTGGAATTTAATCCATGATTTTTTTATGCGGCTGCAACATAGCCTGACGGTCCAAATTGAGTATAAGCCTGAACATTCAACGTCACGTAAATCGCAATTAACGTGTTAACAGAAAGACTAATAGTAAATTAGATAACTAATGTGGAAATAATGTGATAAATAATTAAATAGATCATTTAAAGATTGTTTGTTTTTTTTAAACCTTACCTTCACACCTTCTCACTAGGATTATCTACTGTATCGTGAAGGCAGTTTACAAACATAAACATCCAGACCCGGAACAATTATTTGTAAGCCATGCAAATACTTGTTCCGTACGGGATTCGAACCCGCGGCCCCCAGCGCTGCAACTAATTCCTAAGCCACTGCACCACGGAGTCGTTCACATTAAAATGCCACAAGTGTGTTCAAAATTTAGAAAATCGTAAATTATACATCATAAGAAAAATAACTTCAAAAATTAATATCTCAAAAACTATGCTGCAGTAATAATTTAGTTGTAGCACAAATGGGTCTGCTCGACTGGGGTAGGAGCACGCAAGCAAATACAAAGAGGAGATGGCATAAGCAATTGTGCACTGTGATTCTAACTAGGTCCTGACGTCATCATAGTGGGCGTGGCTTTACTTAGTATACTGTCAGCGCTCGTCCTGTGCGCTTATGTGTCAAAAATCGCAAATCGGTGTATTTTCGGTAGTATTAAGAAGAAAAGGATGAAGTGTTGTATTTTATCGTGTAAAAACTAGTCAGATAGACGCTCTGATGCTATGGATGGTATAACATTTCATTTATAAATAATTTTATACCTAATTTATTAAAAATGTTCTAGAAAAATCTCTGCGTCGGCTTTCAAATGTAATTAAATATATTCGACACTAGATGGCCACACTTTGTGTCACGGGAACTAAAAATATAAAGGTACGTAGAGCTCAGTATTGGTAAAATAATCATACGTAAGTGTTGAAATTTGTTTTGCATTCAGTCCTAAAGAATTTTTAATCGCCAAAATATTATTTTTATAGCTTTTCTAATTATTTTGTGAACAGGCCGCCATCTATCGTCTAGGTAGCTAAACTACATTGCAACTTCGATATGGAACGATGCGAGTAGTTTTACTATTTATCGGTAGACGGAAAATGGTAAAGTGGGTGGGGCTTGACATACCTCACCCCGCAAATTGTCACGCGTTGTTACATAGCGAAATCTAATTACAATACCTCCTCTTTGTATTTGCTCCGTGGAGCACGCGCACAGAATACCGTAAAATAGCAGCATAATAGTGCTGTTTCGTATGGTGAGTGTAGAGAACCAGAGACAATTCTTACTATAAATGAGGCATTCCATCTTAGTCCTCAGGGGTAACAATGGATCAGCATATCAATAGATGTCTATGGGCCACAGTATAAACTTACAATAATACATACCACATACCATACACACACATAGTTATGTGTTTCCCCAGCATAATATTTAAGATTAGATTAATAACAAAAATAAGATCTATCTTCTAAAGTCAAGAGCTATAATGCGAAAATTATTTTGTTCATAGTAGTCTTTAAAGTAGGATTTTACTTTTTATTAAAGATTAGATGTTTTTATCCTTTTGGGTGGATTAAGAAATATCCCAAGTACAAGGTAACAACTAAAATGTTGTCTAAATAGTACAAAATTTATATGGGACCACCCCAGAAACATAACCTATTTCATGAAAAAGTATCATTTATGAGTTTAGCCATTTCCAGGAAATTGCTGATCATACATAAAAATCATACACCCTCGAATCTAGAACCTTCATGTTTTTTGAACTCTGTTAAAAACTCACACAGTATTATGAAGAGAATAACTTGAAAGTTCCCGTAATTTCTTGTTGAAAAGCAGGTAAATGTGACCAGTACATGAAAAGACAGGAGAGCAATGAGCCATGGATCACGCCATTCAATCTGTAACAATATATTTTTCAGAATTATCCTTATATTATATTAAACTCAACAGTCTGCTATTATTTTGTGGAGTTTCCAACACAAACTATACAAAAAATCTAATTGAAAGGATTAAAAGCCACTTACAACAATAGTTGAAAAATATTGAAATATCTAATGCTTAGGTATGCTTTTAGTGGTAAATTGAGTTGTTTTATAGATGAAGCAAATTATACAGTAGCATTTGCAGTAGAAAATGTGAACTACATATTCAAAGTCAATTGTAAGCTTGTGATACATAATATATAATCATAAACTTATGTAAAGTAAAATTGTTTTATGATTTTAGGATACATATTATTCTTAATTTAAATTTTTAAGTAAATTTTAATAATTTAGTGCAAAACAATTACGTGGTAGAGCCACGCTGCAGCTATATTGGTAGTATAGTTGTAGCACAAATGGGTCGGCTCGACCGGGGAAGGACCACACTCTCACAGAATACCAGCATCAAATAGCAGTTTAACACTGCTGTGTTTCGTATGGTGAGTGTAGAGAACCGAAGACCCTTTTTACTGGAAAAGAGGCATTCCATCTTAGTCCTCACGGGTGACAACGCATCTGCGTTTTGATTCGCAAACGAAGGCAACAATTCAATTCACAGCAACCACTTACCATCAGGTGGAATGCGTGCTCGTTTGTCATTCAATCCTATAAAAAAAAACAAGTACAGATAAAAATATGCTTTGTACCTATCTAGAATGTGGAATGATTTGTTCATATAGAAAACATTGTGGAAGTTGAGAATTTTTCTTGGGTTTTTTTTTTGATGTCTGGATAAACTGCTGAGTATATGCCAAAAGATATTCAGCAGCAGCTGAAAAAATATGGACTGGATATTGACTTGTGCAGGGCTCAAGGTTATGACAATGCCGCCTCAATGTCAGATGTCCACGGAGGGATGCAACAAAAAGTTCTAGAAGTAAATCCAAAAGCACTGTTCCTGTTCTAATAATTACTTGAATCTTTGTGGAGTTCATGCATTTGGATGCATTCCTTCCAGCGTCACATGTTTTGGAACAGTAGAGAAATTATATTCATCATTTTCATCATCTACATAGAGATGTCAATTGTTTAAAGAGAAAACAGGAAAAAATCTCAAACGTTTATCTGATACCCTCTGGAACGCTCATTATGAGTCAGTAATAGTTGCAAAAGACAACAGAGACAATTGTGATTAGTTTGGAACATTTTCAAGATCCAACAAAAGCAGATCTAGATACAAGATCAGGAGCAAGGTTGCTCCTGCCGGCTGGTTGTGATTATACCTTTTTAACATATTATATATATAATTTTGGCTTTCCATACTAGAGGAAGTTAATTTAGTAAAACAATATTTACAGTTTCCAAAAATGACTCTGTGCACTGAAATCACCAAACTAAAAGCCCTGATTGAGTATTTAGTGACCGAATGAACCACGATTGTAGACAATGCTGTAACTTTTGGCAGTAAAAATGCAATGATATGGATATTAACCTCGAGAGACTAGGAAATAGGAAAATAAAAAGAAATATGCCAGGTGAACTAACTCATGGTGCTGGGTTATCGATTCAAGAAGAAATATGTCGGTCAATGTTTGAATGCATAGACCATTTTATACAAGAATTGACATAACAATATAAGGCCATTAAACAAATCAACAATATTTTCCAAATTATTGAAACAAAGTTCCTCAGGCATATATGTGCCGCCAATACGAGTGTGGATGTTGCTGCCAAATGGACAGCCCAAGAAATTCTTCAATTTGTAATAAAATAGGATTTTAGTGAATCGTAACCATGTACATTGCTTATACTTCAATACTTACAATACTACAAGAGGAGTTTTTCCAAACTTAAACTAATTAAAAACTATCTTCAATCTACAATAAATCAAGAGCGACTCGTTAATCTGTCCGTACTTCCTATTAATTAATATATATTATAATTATAAAAAGTTTCAAAAGTAATTAATTTCACTGAAGTTATTGAGGAATTCAGGCACGAAAACACATATAATATGCTATAATAGCTACATACTTACTGGAAAGAAAAACTACCTATTACTTTATTTTTACTAATTGGTTTTTTGCCGATCGATTCGTATTTTATTTTCCTCATCCATATCCATATTATATTAAATTTCATTGCAACATTTTAACTAAATATAAATAAACACTTACACATACAAATGTGAAGTGAATAAAAAGCTTGTAAGATTAGATCAACTTCTTATATTATAAGGTCCTTATTTGGCTTTGGCGCCCCGGGCCTCTTAGTCCACCACTGACATATGGTTAATTTAAATTAAATATTTACTTACACTACGTATATAAGAAACGAAATCGGATATTTCATTTACTTCTATAAATTCCTCCATTGATAACTAAAACCGGCACTAAATTATTTTACTGAAAGAGGTAAATGTAATATCACTCTAATTACAGACTTTTGAAGTACTTGACTTGTAGACTTTTTGAAAAATCACTCCATAGCATAGATAAATAAATATGTAATATGTAGCCGTATGTAGCAACTAGCAAGAACAAGATAAATCACTTCAAAATTGACAAATGAAATGACGCATTTGAAATATTTTTTTTTTGTAGTTTATGGCCTGGTATCTAGACCTTTAGGCCAAGTCTTAAGTAAATAAAAGTAAATAATATAATATTCCACAACTATCAAACAACGCCATCTAGTCCCAAGCTAAGCAGAGCTTGTGTTATGGGTACTAGACAACTGATAAACATACTTATATATTTCTAAATACATAAATATTATAGATAAATTACACCCAGACACACAACAAATGATCGTGCTCATCACACAAACATTTGTCCTGGGTGGGAATCGAACCCACGACCTCCGGCGTAGCAGTCAGGGTCACTAACCACTAGACCAACAGGTCAGTCGATGTAAGTACATCACAGTTAAACAATGATTTATATAACTATTTATATAAATGAGTTATATTAACAGGTGTCATTGATTTTGCATATGCATGTCCCACTCTACTCGGCGATATTGTATATAGTCATCTTTTTTACGGCACTATTAGAATAGGCTTTGAAGGGACCAATGAAGTCCACGCCCAGAGGTTGCATTTTACTTGTTGTATGTGGGTGTAATGTAAGGTTTGTCACTCCAGAACGATTCGCCATATCCAAAGCTTCAATACTTAAATGAGATTCGTGATTTTCCATGATCAATAAAGCTGGGTTTTCTGACCTTGCAGAGGTATGTTTTATAATATATATATAAACAACTCTGCGTTCATCCATCCACTTGGGTTTGCAAGTACGACGGATCCAATAGGGGCACCAGTCATCATATAATCCTTAAAGTTCCTCCATGGAAAAACTAACGCTGGAGGTGAGGTTTGCCCAGACGCACAAACGATAGCGCATGTTGTCAATAATGCACCCTTCTCTCCACTAGTTATTTCACCAATATTCTGACGCCCTTTAGGTACTATAACTTTTAGTGGCCTCTGAACGGTTGTAGTAGCAGTTTCATCCGAATTGTAGATTCTACAGCCGTTTCCAAAAAATGGGTGGCTTTCCATAACGTTCTTTAGGTTATCAAAAAACTCTCTTTGTTCAAATTGTAAAGTTGTGCCTTTGTTTGTCTCTTTGTTAAAAGCGGTGGCACGAGCAAGGCTGCAGGCTTCTGGTTTTTTCAACGATAAATCCAGATTCCTTGATCTAAATGACCGAAGCCATTAAAGGTCTGCCATTTTTTCACGATTTCAACTATCAGGAGTTTTTATATTATTAATAGTTGCCATTTGATAATCAAGGCTGCGGACGTCTTTAGTGGATAACCCATAAAATTTTAATGCACACTCTTTGATATATTCTTTCAGTGATTTTTCTTGTTCATCTGTAAATATTTTGTTGACATCATAGTTGGGTGTCAATTGCTACTTGTGTAAATCCGCAGTACTAACTTTTACATTTTTTTTATGTAACGTTGCAGTGTCGGAATGCATACGTTATACTCCTTAGCTGCTTTTCTGATGCTCGTTCCATGCCTATAATATTTGATAGCCTGAAGCATGTTATCAGCAGTGCGGTTACCTTTCTTTCTTTTGTTAACTGTAGTGCGCGCCATCTAAAACAAAAAGTAAAAATTACAATGTGTCAGTAAATCTATTGCATGTTTTTTATTATAGGATAAGGGTGACAAGCGAGCACACAGTCCACCTGATGGTAAGTGGTTGCTGTTGCCCATAGACACAGCATCATCTATCCTTGTTTGCGAATTAAAATGCAGATGCGATGTCACTCGTGAGGCCTAAGATGGAATACCTCGTTTCCAGTAAAAAGGGTCTTCGGTTCTCTACACTTACCATATGAAACACAGCAGCATTAAGCTGCTATTTTACGCTAGTATTCTGTGAGAGCGTGGTCCTCCCCGTTCGAGCCGACCCATTCGTGCTACAACTATACAATTAATATAGCTGCAGCATATCTCTACAACGTTCAAAACAAAAGAAAAAACTTTTAGTATGTGATTTGTGTAGTTATATACATAATAAAAAACGCAAACACTAGCCATGGGCCACATGGCAAACAATGAAACACGATTAGTACACACTGAAACATGGCTCATTGTGTACATCGTGGTTTTGTCCCATCGTGTTCTATGTGTCACATATTTCTATAAACTTGAAATAAAAATGTAAAATAAAAAGACTCCAAGTATGATTTGTACGTAACTGAAATCTGTAATACATGTACAGTGTCATGCAATATTTAAAAAAAAAGCAAACTTTAACACAAAATAATGAAAAATCGACGAATATTATTAAAAAATGTCACTTTTTTGCGTAAAACCCATTTAATCACTACCACACGTCTGCTTCGCACGCGCCGCAGTCGGCAGTCGCGAACTGGTGAGTTCGGAGGGGACTTGGGGCCGCGTCTTTACATGTACTATGCACTATCTGGCATCGTCGCATTTTTGAAATATGGCAATGTTTCACTGTGTACTACTGGCTCAATGTTAGACAGGTGACCCCATAGATTTAGAATATATTGGCGTATAGACCAACATAGTGTGCAAAGGAGAAGAAAATTTCTTATGGCAAAAATGCAAGATAGAAAAGGATACCAAATCTCACGACTCTGTAACTGATTTTGAATGACAGGTGGGCACATATCGGCACGCAAGAAATAGCTCCTAGATATGTTGTAATTTTTAGAGTGTACTATTGGTTATTTTTAGCGAGTAACTTTTTTTTAAATGGTTACTTGTTCTGTAAGTGACTATAGCGTTAATAATAGAAATAATCCTGACAATTGCACAATTCACAGGTAAATTCTCAAGACATCGTCATGTTCTAACGCGTTTATTTTTGGTTAAAATTTATGTTATATACTGTTTAAAATATAGAATGTTTTCATTATTTTGTTAATTTTGATATTTTGCAAAGAAAAAAGTCACGTTGTTGATAATTGCATATGCATTTTGATTCTTTATTGAGGATAAATGTGATGTCTATGGGTCACAGCAACCACTTACCATCAGGTGAACTGTGTGCTCGGTTTTTCACCCTATCCTATAAAAAAAACTTACATCTCTACTTAGTTAAGTATCTACCTATTTATATTAACAATATGTCAAAAAAGAAATTCCGGTGAAGCTGTCCATGGCAGTAAATATTTTTCTCCAAAGATCAAAGCTCGAAAATACAACTTTCAAACCTGGGATTTTATACATTTTAATTAAAATCCAACACAAGGCTGGTATGTTCAGCTTATTCCCAGGAACATGTTATATGAATATTTTTTAATTATTTTAGAACTATCATGGTAAAAATTCCATTAATTTTTGAAGTTATTGAATTGCGTGCACTAAACAATTTTTTTAAATCTTTTTACCGCTTCCATAACAATCATTTTTCGATAGTCCTAGTAAGTAAAATGTACATAATTAGCTAACGCACACAACGACATCAATATTAGTCACACGTTTTCGGGCTGTCAGGTCGTCTATACGCCAGTATATTCTAAGTCTATGGGTGACCCTATATATAAATTTTGATTTGTCATTGTGTGTGTTAACTAGTGAATATATTTTACCTATGAGGACCTTCAATGCGACTAAAATACTGCAATTGGAAGTGCTAAGAGCATGGTAAAAAGGTTCAACAAAATTAGTTTAATTCACAAAACTAAATAACTTCTAAAATTAACTAATTTTTTCACTATTTTTATCACTTATAATATCTAAAAATTTGCTGATATTTTTTGTGGAAGTGATGCGAGAGGGCACTATCACCGTTGCGTTGATTTATTTATTTTACTTGCGGAACACCACGAACAGTTTATTCTGGGCATTTCTTTTTTTATATAATGGTAATCAAATATCAACAGGCTTTAAGCTAACTTGTATAAAAATAAAACAGTCATTATGTACTCAGTATCTCAGTTTTTGTTCACCATTTCAAAATTATTTTTAAACAAATTAATTACAATAATTACCTTATAAAGTAGTAAAGGTGAGTTTTTTAAATTATTTAATTTCAAGTATGTTATAGTTTTTTTTTGTGAGTTTTTGTGTAATCTGTTATACATAGCAAAACATTATACAAAAAAAAAAACTGATTATAATAAAAAGGAAAAGACAAAACGCGAAGTAAAGCGATTTAAAATATAATAAAAAAAATCGTTTTATTTTTCAATTTAGTACATTAACCTTTTAATATATATCTTAGGAAGATAATGAACTACTTAACTAATTAACCTAATAAGATATATCTTAGGAGGTTAATGAATTACATACATATTTTTGAAACACTGTGTATTGATTCTACTTATTACTTACTTACTTATTATTATAATTAGTAAACAGAATTTACTTTTTCCAAAAATCAAGAAAATAAAAATAGAGAATCATCGGCAACACTAATCTTAAACTTTTTTTTAAACTGTCTTTACGGCTCTGGGTTCTAGCCCTTCTGAGCCTCTAACCTTTAACTATTACTATCACGCTTAGGTGTACGGCAAGGACTACTCTATTGTACATACTCCCTCTACGGTGTTACCACGATGCGTTAGCATTATATTAGTCTGTGGGTGTTACAGACTTAAGCAAAGAGAATATAACCACTACGCTTAGACTTAAGGTGGAAGCTCTAGGGTGGCCCGCAAAATTAAAATTTTCTTGCGTTTTTTGGAATTTGCAGGTCAGGGTTAGGTTGTATTTTTAACAGAATATGATTTGCGACCGTAGCGATTATGCGTTTACAGAATTATTATCATTAATATCACCAATACAACCCTGTAAGTTCATATTAGCCCTTTGAATGAGTTTTTCTGGAAATAGCCATACATTGGAATTATACGAACATAGACGGTTGTATTGATGATT